TAGAAAATAAATACGGTACATTGATTTGTTTTCCAACACTTTTTCCAGTTTATGTCAATCAAAAAATCAGCTATAATATTATACATATGGTGTATACTATTATATACCCGGGCGGTGTATATTATGTCTCTTACGGAATTGTAGAATTTTAGTTTTTTTTAGATTAGAAAATTAGGGTGAGAAAAAAAAACTTTTTTCGATCGATGGCAATAGATTGCTCCGCAACCCAAAAAAGACCACACAAAAATCCAGTTTTTCAACCACCGTATTCCTCCGTATATAAGACCCGCCGAAATAATCACCCCATGGGTGGCATATGAGGGGGATAGCTTATGATGTAGTGCATTTTTTAGAGCACCCACTTTTTTAGTACAAATTATACAAAACACCCTCTATCGAGGATTTGTGGATTTTCCTGGTCTAGCGTCAGGGTTTAATCATTAGACAACAGTTTTAACACTAGTCTAAAGCCTATCCATTGTGCGAGGCATTTCTTGTGCATTTTCGACTACCTAAGCTAGCTACCACTACCATTCACTTTGCACACTGTGATAATCCAACAGCTAGCTACATGTCCTAGCATGTAAGTCAATACTTAGTCTTCATCGTCGTCCTCATCGTGGTCCTCTCATGCATTCCATACCTCGGCATCTTCGTCGTCACTTGCGATGTCGTCCCAGTCAAAGTCATCAGTCCAGCGGGACGCAGCCAGGCCCGCCAGAACCTCCGCCGCAGGCATCTCTAGACCTTCGTTGCCTTCGGCAGCTGATATCTCCGCCTCTGTCGCTGCTTCTGCAGAGGCTGTTGCTGTTGCTGCTGTGCGGGCTCCTGGACTCTCAGATGCCTCTGATGCTGGTGCGGCTGTTGCAGTTCCTGATGCGCCGGATGATGAGGCATCTGCTGTAGCTTCAATCTCAGCCTCTACATTGGGACTGTCTTCCTTCGAGCTGGGCGTGGCGCTCGGCTCCACATATTCCGACTTGTAGATTGGGCAATGCCCGAGCCTCTGTTAGAGAGCCCGGGCATTGCGATGAATTTGACAGAGGCTGAGGGGAGCAAGGAGCAAGAATGACAATGCGGCAAGAGAAGGTTGGAGAATAATCGTGGCCGACACCCTAAGCTGGTACTTACCCTGATTGTGCAGGGTTTTGTAAATGCCACACCCTATTTTTTCAGGCTTTTTGTAAGGGTAAACACTGATTGCTCAGCAAGGTTTCTTAGCGAACCCTTAATTTCTCAGCATTGTAGCGAGTCTTAGTCCTTTCCAAAAGCGTGTCTAAGGGGGGCAGTTAAGAATTTCGAGGTTCTCCCCCCCCCCCCCTTCCCCCACCCCCCGAGGCTGTGTGAGGGCGCTGATTGGCCCGTGGTTAAAAAAATCTCCGAGCTGTATGTTGGAGGTCATGTGAGGGAGGTCATCGGCCCTTAGCCATGTATTCGCCTCGATGTGTGCTGAGGACCAGGCCCCCAGAAGTCAGGAAAATTTTCCTGATTTAGGAAAAAAACAGGGTGTTGAGGGGTACCAGGTCTGATTTGCTAGGGTTTTGTTTTTGGCATTTCCTGAAATTTCAAGGTTTTTTTGTAAGGGATATCTGTCAGCTCAGTTTTTTTTTTGTAATGGATCCTGAAATTTCAAACTTGCATCGAGCATGGGTTCTGAGCGGGTCTTAGTCCTTTCCAAAAGCGTGTCTTGGGGGGGCAGTCAAGAATTTCAAGGTTCTCCCCCCCCCCCCCCCCCCCCTTCCCCACCCCCCGAGGCTGTGTGAGGGAGCTGATTGGCCCTTGGTAAAAAAAAATCTCCGCGCTGTATGTTGGAGGTCGTGTGACTCGTGTCGTGTGAGGGAGGTCATCGCATCGGCCCTTAGCCATGTATTCGCCTCGATATGTGCTGAGGGCTGTGAGGGCAATTGCTGGCCCTTGGCCAAATTTGTTTGATGTGTGCCTGCCCTGGGGCTCTGCGAGGGAAGAAATTCCCTCCGCCCCTGCAATCTTGTCGCCTCCCCCCCTACTAAGCCCCTCCTCCCTCTCCCCCCCACCAATTGTCGTTTCCTGCCCATCCCCCAATCTCACCCCACACGCGCGAATTTGCTACGAATTCCCAGCACCCCCAACAACCAAAACTTGAACACATAATTCATGAACTAAAACATGTATAGAAAGATAGAGAAATCATGATTTTTTTTGGAAGTAATTCTGATGGCTCAGGGTTTTTTTTTAGGGGACCCTAAAATTTCAAAGTTTTATGCAGGGAGAATCCTGATGGATCAAGAAGCCTCAAAACCAATCTAGGGCCCTGCTGAGGACTGTGTGAGGGCAATTGCTGGCCCTTGGCCAAAATTTGCTTGATGTGCGCCTGCCCTAGGGCTCTGCGAGGGAAGAGATTCTCGCCGCCCCTGCAATCTCGTCGCCTCCCCCCCTATTCAGCCCTTCCCCCCTCTCCCCCCCACCAATTGTCGTTTCCTGCCCATCCCCCAATCTCGCCCCATGCGCGCGAATTCGCTACGAATTCCCAGCACCCCCAAAAACCAAGACTTGAACATACATAATTCATGAACTAAAACATGTATAGAAAGATTGAGAAATCAGTATTTTTTTTAAGTAATTCAGATGGCTCAGGTTTTTTTTTTAGGGGACCCTGAAAATTCAGACTTTTCTGCAGGGAGAATCTTGATGGATCAGGAAGCCTCAAAACCAATCTAGGGCACTGGATGGAACCATGCATGCTGGTCCCATCAAAAAGTTTCCGTAAAGGAATCTGGTCGCACACTTCAACCTGCTGCTGTTACGTTGTAAAAACACGGGATTCCTAGCCGTCGATAAAATCTTGTCAGTTGCAGGAAGTAGCTTTCCTCTTGTGCTGGCAGGTGCGGCTTTCTCGGATTGGCTGCAAATGCAGCACGTCATGCCGTTATCACCAGGCTGGCCCGAGTGGAGGTTGGGGATTGTCATCCAAACCTCGTTAAAGGGGTCATCCTGTACGGTGCATGTATTTCTACATGTTACGCCCCATTTTTATTTTGCATTATACATAAGACATGGGCGTTATATTTTTCCAGCCTACTCTTAACACCCATTCGTTTTTTTTTAAGCCACGGACCCAAGTTTCTAGAACTGGAGGCAAGTGTTTTACAGTTGGTTGGGAAAAACCAGGTTTTTTGTCGCGAGGGTGCGTGAATTGCAACACTCGCAGGCGATTTCATTGGTGCCTACAGCTCGCCGGCCAATCAGTAGTGCTATGAGTGGGAATGGAACAATCGACTGAGTAATGGAAATCCCACCTAGGAATAATGATAGATCAGCAAGTGACGAGCAAATCGGCTAAAGTAGGGCTCGTACGTGCTAGGGCGAGAATCTCGGGACGTGAGGTTGGGATGGAAGGGTGGCGAGGGTGTCGGAACGCGACTCGGGGAGGTTTGAGCCGACAATCGAGGCCGAACCTGCGAGGTCGAGGTCTTCAGGTGTACGCGCTGTAATTTAGCGCAGCAAGGAATCGTAATTCCTTACAAGTAGTTTTAGTCCCAACCAACTGTTTTACAGTCCCTAAAGTCCCTGGCTTTACTGATTTTTTTACAATACCCTAGGGTGCTATATACGGGGGAATACGGCAGTACCAGCACCACCTCTAGCGAAATTCTCTAGCGAAAATTTGCAGCCTCGCACCTCGCTAGCGAACAACCTACCCCCGCTGCGCCGATTGGCCCTCTTTGTACTACACCCGCCTTGCGCTGGTTTCGCATGGCGGGACCCCGTTACTTGCTCCTATGTCTGTGCTGGTCTCGGTGCGATCCTTCCAAACTGCACCCTTCATTTCGGACCTGTTCCCAAAGGGGGATCTGTTTCGAAATCGATTCACATTGCGTACCGTCAAACGGCTCCGCGTGTTAAAAACGGGAACAAATTTTGGGGACCAGCCCTAAGGGGCCGCAATCAGACGTACTTGAGTGACACGCCCTTGCACCAAAATTCCCTGCTTGGAGCTTTTCATGTACGTATGGATGGAATCAGGGTCAAATAGGTTTCATTTCGTGCTGCGTTGCGCGCCAGCCAGCCCTTCTGCCTTAGCTGGGGGACAACCCTGAAACGTGAAAGTGACCGCCGAATCGTCCGCGCTTCGCCATGTCATCACGTCACCTCCGCAGCGCCACGCCAAATCTCCGTTCTGCCCGCGCTCCCCTTTCCGGTGTGCTTCTGTCCCAAACCCTGGTGATGTCTTCTGTTGCCTGGTAACAAAACATTTTTTGGGCCGATCAAAACCACCCGAACCCTGGTTGACTGATTGAGGGTAATACTTCGGACCGGAATAGTTTACAGATCCTTGTTTTCCTCTCGCAGTAGAAATGGTGTGGGAAACTACCTCAATCGAAACCTAGTTTACCACCAGCAAATGAGGAAGGTGACGGACCACTTTTAACTACGCATAGCACACCTCTCCTGCTCGTTGTTCCTAGAAAATTGTCTTCACTCCCAAATTTCTCCTAAGCGAAACTCTCCAAACCCCCAACTCCGGCCCAGCTGCTGGGCAGAAACTTTGCCCAGGAGCTGCACTCCCTTGCCACGTTTCCCCCGCCTGTGGCGCCGCGCTTCTCCACTTACAGCCCTTACAGGGAATTCTTCTGCCCCTTCGGCTTGTCATTCAGCCCATCAGCAGCATTTCTGCGCCTCTGCGCGCCAAACCCGCTGACTCGCTTCGCACTGCCAAGCTTGCTTTCTCACGAGCAGTAACCCCAATTCGTGGGTGTCGTACACCCCGGCCACCTCATAACGTACTCCACCGCAGTAAAACATTTATCAACCCACTTTAACCCTCTCCAAACCCCTATGTTGCCGACATCAGACCCAATCCGTGAACCCGTGTCGGGCATTCAGAAGTCACTGTTTCCGCGCCTTCCCACCCGTCGCCCCCGCCGACTCTCAAATCCACGAATCACGCTCCCCCCCGCGTCCTCCACATCCTTTTCCTGTCTCTGTCGCTATCATCCTCGCCTTCCTTCGATCTTTGTTCTCAGCAGTGACACCTCTCAACAGCCTTTCCCAGGGCAATTTTCCTGTCAGGTGGTCCACCCTGCGCGAAGCGAGTCAGCGGCAACGACGGGTTACTCCCAGGGTTCCCGCCCAGCCACGTCTCCGTACGCTGGCTCCCTCCCTCAATCACCTCTGGAGTTTAGATTCTAGATTCGTTCGGCTCCAAATCTAGAAGCACTTCTGGTAATCCGAAAGGAAGCGCACCCGCCAGCAGAAAGTCTAAGTGCTAATCCTGCAATTGATTTAGTTCTAGAACGCCCAAGTGCTACCACCAGACGCTCAGTTGCCGTTTCCTCAGAATCCAACCTTGACCTCAGTACTGGCAATGGCAGGCGAATCGTACTAGGAACCAACGGCCTCGGGAGACTAGACCGCGGCGCCATGGGGGGTAAATACGTCGCTTGTAGCACGTAACTCGTAGCGCGTCATTTGTACCGCGAAGCTTGTGGCTCGGAGCCGAGTCTCCTCTTAGCTAAGTGGAACCCGACTTGTTTCAAAGGACGCATCAAGTCGGGAGAGACTTCTGAAGAGAAAGATTCAATCGCCATGGCGAGCAGACGGCGAGAAAGCAGCCACTGTCCGCAGAAAGCCTTAAGACCATCGCAAATATCCCCCGCCACTATCCTACCATCCTCCTCTTCCTCTTCCTCCACCTCTAACTCGTCCCTTAATTCACGGTCACATCTTCTTAACACGTCGCCCCATCCCCCCCCTCCTGCCGCGTCGCCTCCCCTGTCCAATTTTGCGGCGACCCCCGCGCGTCGAAGGGCAAGGGCGGCACGGGCTTTTAGTCGCAGTCTGCTCGTTCTCGCGCTGCTAGCTGCGTTGTTAGCGGCGGCGCTCTGCCCGTCTCCCGCGATTGGGAGAAAGCACGACGGCGGCGGGAAACACGGCGGAAAGCACGGCGGTAAGCACAAGCATGACAAGAAAGGCAAGCACCATCATCGCAGCAGCAGCAGCAGCACCAGCGCCACCACTACCAGCACCACCAGCACCAGCACCAGCAGCAGCACCAGCGAAAGCGACATCGGCCGCGCGAGGGCGAGGGAGGATTCTAGAAGCGAGATCTCTCTAGCGAGCACCCTGACCACTCAAGCCCCCGCCGACGCGACGCCGCAGGACCTAGGCGCGACGGCGAACGAGGTGGTGGTTCGGACCGAGGCGGAGCTAAGAGCGGCGATTAAAGCCGGGAAGCCGATCCTGCTGGTAGCCACCGTGGTGCTGACGTCACCGCTGCCGAATATAACGACGGCCGTCACGATTCGTGGGCATGCGACGGCGTGCGCCGACCTGAAGGTGAGACGATGACGATAGTTGTGATTGTGAATGAATGAAGGGAAGGTGCGCTGACCTGAAGCAGAAAGAGGGTAGGTTGGTTTCTGAGGCGACTTGATGCACTGAGCCTGAGGCAAGGAGGCTGGGAGCGCGATTGTACCGGGTTAAAAAAGGAAGGATGAACTAGTAGAAAAGCATTAGTGGCAAATAGGAGATTTGAAACGAGGAATTCATCTCCCATTTGCCCCAGGAGTCAAGAGCGATTACGTAGCGACGAGACAAGTGACTGAGCGAAGTCGTTTCGAGGCGTCTCTAAGTCGAAGCTCCCGTCGTGCTTCGTATACTCACTTCACACTTCCCGTTTTCTCCGACCCCGTGTCTCCCCGTGCCCCCGCGCCCCCGTGCCCCCGTGTCTCCTCGTGCCCCCGTGTCTCCTCGTGCCCCCGTGTCTCCTCGTGCCCCCGTGTCTCCTCGTGCCCCCGTGTCTCCCCGTGTCTCCCCGTGTCCCCGCGTCCCCCCCCTCTCGCCGCGCCAGTTCAACCTCTGTCGCATCGACGGGCGCAGCAGGAACCGGCACTTCACCGTGACGCGCGGCGGGCGGCTGCAACTGACGCTGGTGATGCTGAGCCGTGGGTACACGCGCAACGGCAGCGGCGGCAGCACGCTGCTCGTCAACGGCGGAGTCGCGATCCTCAACCGCGTCTACTTCCGCGGAAACTCCGCCTTCGGCACGGTATGGCGGAACCCCCGATTCCTTCCCCCCTTCCCCCTTCCCGTTTCCCGTTTCCCCTTTCCGCTCTCGCGAACCCCCCTCTTTCATACCCGCGCACGCAATCCCCGCCCCCCACTCTCCCCAATCCCTCGGTCGCCCGGTCCCCCGCTTCCACGCTCCCCCTTCCCGCTCCCTACCTGACGGCGGGCGGCGGGGCGATTGAAGTAATCGAGGGCAGCAAGGTGAACTCGACCGCGAGGGGAAGCAAGCACTCTCGTTCAGACGCGCGTGCGCTCAACCTCCCGCTTCCCCTTCCCCCTCCCCCCTCCTCTGTCCCACCTCCCATCCAGACGGCTGGCGGCGGAGCGATAGAGGTGGACGAGGGCAGCACGCTCTACTCCCCACTCCCCCCACCCCCAACTCCCCCCCCTGACTCCCCCCTCGTCCCCCACTTCCCCCGTCTCCCCCGTCTCCCATTCTGATGCTCCTCCCTCCGAAACAGACGGCCGGCGGCGGCGCAATAGAAGTGGACGAGGGCAGCAAGCTGTACTCGACCGCGTCGCACTTCATCCGCAACCTGGCCGGGTTCGGCGGCGCGATCGGCGCGGCGGACGGCAGCACGGTGAGCCTGTACGGCAACATCTTCCACCGCAACCTCGCGTCCACGGCGGGCGGCGCCATCTCCATGCTGCTCAACACGCAGGCCACCATCCGCAAGTCGCAGTTCACCGCGAACGAAGCCGGGGTGAGTGGGAGGGTGTGGGTGGGAGTTGGGGGGGAGTTGGGGGGAGTGGAGAGGAGGCTGGGGTGAGTGAGAGTTAGTGGGTAGGTGGGTGAGTGGGTCTTGGGAGCAGCGAGCGTCCCTGAGGACGGGAGAAATGGGGGGTGCTGGGGAGAGGGGAAGAGGGGGAGAGGGGGAGAGCTTGGGGAGAGGGGGAGAGCTGGGGGAGAGGGGGAGAGCTGGGGGAGAGGGGGAGAGCTGGGGGAGAGGGGGAGAGCTGGGGGAGAGGGGGAGAGCTGGGGGAGAGGGGGAGAGCTGGGGGAGAGGGGGAGAGCTGGGGGAGAGGCGGAGAGCTGGGGGAGAGGGGGAGAGCTGGGGGAGAGCTGGGGGAGAGGGGGAGAGGGGGAGGAATGTGGCGGGTGGAGGGTGCGCCGGGAGGGAGTAGTGGGGTTGCGGTGAAGGGGAGGGTGCACGGGCGGGAGTAGTGTGGTGTGAAGGTGTGTGAGAGTGAGCTCCATCGTGAATGGGCTATATGGACTTGACAGACTAGGGTGAAGTTTGGATGGTTTGGTTTGTCATGTGCTTGCGGTGTGGCTAACGTCGCTTCACCCACCTGAATGTGCTTGTGTTGGATGTGCTTGCAGCAAGGGGGAATCATTCACCTGGACGCGTCCAACATGACTCTGTGCAATGCGACCTACTGGAACAACAACGCTACACTCATGGTAAGCTGCTGTTGCTATTGTATTGATATTTATCGCACATTCATGAGCATAGTCTTCTGTCTGTATGTGAGATTGCGTGGGTCTTGAGTAGTGACTTCCACAGGTGCCTCTGCTGTCTGCTGCTACTTCTGCCCCCTTACCCCTCCTTTTCCCCCTCCCCTTTCCCTTCTCCCTCCCTACCCCCCTTCTCCCTTTCCCTTACTTCAACCCGCCCCGGCCAGGCGCCCAATGTCTTAGCACAGACCAAGTCCACTGTGGTGCTCTGCAGGGTGCCCACGACGGCTGTTGTCGCAACAGACGGCTCCACCGTCGCCCAGGCCTGCACCCCCTGCATCTAGTTTCTGCTCTGCTCAGTGCCTTGGTTCTGCTATGGCGGCGGTGGCAGCGCCTCACGAGGAGTCTTTTCTTCTGCATTCCTTGTGTCTAGTTGAGCGTCCTGGGCCAACTTACAATGCCAGGCCTAAGGTGCAGTTGGTTATTTTAGACTCAGCAGCAGTTTTATGAATTTTCAAGGATGTTCACACCAAGGTGAATGACTGTATTTTTCAATGGGGGTTGAGGTGGTGTAGTTTATGCAGGGGAGCAGGCTGGGTTCGCAAGCAACACACTGTTCTTTAGCATAGTAGGAGGCGCCATGCTTTTTCTAGTTTTGTGACTGGGCAGGGCAGTCGCTTAAGAGTGAGTAATCCACTTGATGACATGCTATTGGTATGTGACGAACATGGCATGATATATCGTATGCCTAAGCGGTTTTAGGTGCCTTACAGCTTTCAATGGGTGGGTTGTCGAAGCAACTAGGTAGCTAGGGGGAGAAGCCATGGAATGGCGTGAGGTTTAGGAAGGAGAAAATGTTGAGAGGAGAGTATTGGAATAGAAGAGGAGGAGATACAAGAAGGGGGGTAGTCCCCTCTACAGTAGGATTCAGTAAGTACCACAACTACCAAGCCACAATTACCTATACACAGACACACACACACACAAAATACTGGGACAATAAGGGATGTCATCAGGAGGGTTAGGCTACATGTATCCACCTTCCCCGAGGAAAGCCTCCCCAGTACCCTCCCTAGAGATAGAGAGGATCGACAGGGTTATCCCAGTGCCACGACACACCTCCCCGCTGGGATGGCGTGTACACCAGGAATTGAACCCCAGAAGGCTCTGATACCATGTTAGAATACAAGAATGACTAGAAACAAGAGAGAACAAGGGAGATATAAGGTTGGAGTTGTACCCTCTAAGAATATACACCTTTCTGGCCTATAACTTCTACATATACAACCATATGTATAAGTTGACACGCCATTCCATGGCTTCTGTTGGGCTGAGAAAAACCCTTAGGATCTTTCCAGATACTAAGTCCCACTTGTACAAGGTTTGAGTAGTGCAGCGGAAGTATTGAGTAGTTGAACCTTTGCACTAGTATGTGAGAGCAAGTGATTGATTAAAAGAAACAAGCATACAGCAATATATAGAAAATAGGAAATAGAGCAGTTGTAGAATACAGTTGAAGAAACAGTTATCGAGTCGCACAGCGACTCGATTGTCGGTTCGGTTACCATCCTTGCTGTTGTAACGGTCAGTTGCAACCTCCGGTTGCGACCCTTCGAGTCCTTTTCGTCCTTTCGTGTTCTTTCGTCCATCCCCTCGTGTAACCTCCGTTGACTCGCGTACCCGTTACGACTTTCCTCGAGTGCAGTGTTATACTTCAGAAACGCTCAAGTCCTCGAGATATTTCCAACACTCCCCTTCGTTTATGGAGTGCTGACGTGTTCGGATTCGGTGACGTTTATCTGCTCGGTCAGCAGCATGCAGTAATCGAACTTTGCCTTCGCCAGTTTATTCGTCAAGTAATCTGCAGCCATTTCTGTCGTAGGACAGTAACTGAGTTGAAGCCTCCCTTTCGCGATTTCATCATTGACGAAGAAGTACCTCAGGGCGATGTGCTTGGTTCGATTGGCGAACCCGTCTTTGTTCGCGATTTTGATCGCGGATTGGTTGTCGCAGAATAACGAGAAGGCGGGCATGGTCGTAATTTTCGCTTCCTCGAGCAGCTCCCGCAGGTAAAGTCCTTCTTTGGTTGCAGTGCAGAGAGCGATATATTCCGTTTCAGCCGAAGATAGCGCGATTATTTCCTGCTTGCTCGATTGCCATGAGATAGTCCTGATAGGTTCTAGTCGGTAGATGTAGCCCGTTTTAGAGCGAAGGTTCTCCCTATCTCCCGCGTGGTCGGCGTCGACATAGCCGAGTAGTTGTACGGACGATATTGTTACTTTGCTGTAGGTAAGTCCAGTAGTCGGCGTAGAGACGAAGTAGAGTAGTGCCCGATTTAGTTCCTCGAGATCCTCTTGCTCCGGCTGCTTCAGGTGTGTCGCTAGTTGGCTTGCGCTGTAGGACAGGTCTGGTCGGCAGGTTACTGCTGCGAATCGTAGACAGCCGAGCTTCTGTTGATATTCCTGGATTTGCTTCGTGGGGAGTTTTGCGGAGGTGTCGCTGTTGTTCCCGTAGCGGTAGGGAGTTGCGATTGCGACTGGCGTTAGGTCGAATTTCTTCGCGACAACGCCTGCGTATTTCCCGGCGTGTAGGTAGAGCACTGAGTCGTCTTCGACGATGTTTAGACCCAGGTATTGGCTCACGGTGTTTGACACCGTGAGTGTTAAATCCCTCTTCAGCTCCCCTTCGAACCAGGTGGTGACGTCGGTAGTGGAGCCGACATAGAGTAGGTCATCGACGTAGACGATGAGTAGGACGAAATCCCCCCCCTTCTGTAGTCGGTACATGCCTTGATCGTGCGGTAGCTGCAGAAAACCGATCCTGATGAGGCGGTCGTGGAGGTGCTGCTGCCAGAGCCGCGGGGCTTGTTTGATTCCGTAGAGGGATTTTACCAGCTGGCACACCTTTGTGGGATCGTCGATGAATCCGTGGGGCTGTTCGACGAAGATTTCGGCGTCCACAGGTGCATACAGGAAGGCGTTGGCGACGTCAATCTGGCGCAGTGGTATATTTTTCGTGGCCGCGACTGCGAGCAAAATGCGCAGGGAAGTGTGTCGGGAAACCGGGGCGAATGTCTCCATGTAGTCGGCTCCATATCGCTGGTCGAATCCTCGAACGACCCACGCGAGCTTTGAAGCGGTCGATGGAGCCATCCGCATTGGTCTTGATGCGGTACACCCATTTCCCCGGGAGCACATTTTTCCCGTTGGTTTTTGTCGCAGATACCAGCTTCCACGTATTTCGGTCTTGCAGGGCCTTCAGTTCCTTTTCCATTGCTTCCTTCCATTTCACCTTGTGTTCCCCCCCAAGAGCCTGAGACAGAATCGATGGCTCGCGCGGTGACGGCGGTGGCGGGCTCTGGACGGCGACCCATAGTCCAAGTATCTGCAGGCCCGTGGGTGTGTGTCGAGGGGAATTGTCAAACTCGGGATAAGCTGCTTCATGACCGTCTTCGGGATCGGGTAAGAAATTGGGTCCGATGCGTTCAGAGATATTTGTGTCGACCAGTTGAGGTATAGCATAACCCTGGTCAGCGAACTGGTAATAGGTGTCGAGGTTGTTACTATCGAGAGGATTGTCGTCGTCGAGTGGAACGGGCACGGAGCAGTAAGGGAGTGGTCCGGCATCTTCCGAGGCTTCAGGTACGTTTTCTTCTGCTGCGTCAGCTTTGGCAGCACGGTCGGCGAAGGACCGATGGCCCTCGAAGCCGTCGGTGGGGTCGTCTGTGTTGGCGATGTTGTCCAGGTAATGTTGCAACGTCAGTCGCTCGTAGAAAATTACATCACGTGAGGCCACGGTGGTTTTGTCCTGAATGTCGAGAAGTTTCCATGCTTGGAAATGTTTTGCGATGCCAAGGTGTAGTCCCCACCGTACTCGTTGAGAGAATCGACCTGCTCGGGCTATGTGGCGTCAGTACTGTACCATGCAGCCGAAGACGCGAAGTAATTTTGTGCTGCCCTGTTTTCCTGTCCACAGCAGGTGTGGTGATGCGCTGTTGGGAAGTGATGACGAGGACAGCAAATTGTGCAGGTGGACTGCATGTGTCATTGCGTCATGCCAAAGCGTGTTGGGCGGTCTCATCCCCAGGAGCAGCTTCCGCATCGTCGTCTGCAAAGTTCGGTTCATCCTCTCTGCGACCCCCTGCTGCTGGTGAGCATAGGGCAGGGACACCAGGCGTCTGATGCCTCTTTCTGCCAAGTAGTTCCTAAATCGTTGTGACTGGTACTCCAATGCTCTGTCTGATTTGAAGCTCTTGAATTGCGAGCCCGATTCTCGTTCAGCAATGGGCAGCCATGCCGTGAAGGCTTCGAACGCTTGATCTTGTGTCTTGAGGTTGTAGTGCCAGAAGTATCGTGTTGCTGCGTCAATGAATGTTATAACATAGTTGTACTCTGCTTCACTGTCGTCTCGAGGCATATTTGAGATGTCGCTGTAGACTTTTTCCATCGGTGCGTATGCAGGTGCGCTTGGATTGTGGTGCGACGGAAATATTTTGGTGGGGAAGATCGGCTTCGGGGCACGTGAAGCATCGTGCGCGGGTTCGTCGAAGTTCCTGGCCACTTGTTGTGAGAAGAGCGTTCTTTTCTAACACTCCGGCTTGTATGGTTTGTAGCACTGTGCTCTTTGCAGGATGCCCGAGGCGTTGATGCCAGATGTCGTCGGGAGCGCGATGGCCGGGTGAGCACTGGTACATGTCGGCGTCGGAGAAGAATGCGATGACCGTTGCAGGACCGCGGCAAACTCCTCGGGTGATGGGCATGAGTTGATCTGCTTCGGATGGCGGTCCTCGAATTGCTGGTGATGGCGTACGGGTGGGTCCTGCTGCTGCTACTACAGGTGATGTCATGTGAGGGACGCTTGGTGGTACTTGTCGGATGACTGCTAATGCTCGTGTTCTTTCTGCTGCAGGGATGGTGTTGGAGTACCAGAAGCCGTCTGGAGTAAAGTCGGGGTCCAGATCTGGCGGGTGCGTCCAGGCGGCAAACAACACGATCCCATCGCTGTTGGCAGTACCGCGGTCGGGGACGAAATCCAGCACGAAGACGCCCGACTTCAGGAGACCGCGACCGATGAAGAGGCCGCCCTTTCCGTGGTAAAGGCAAAACTCGTTGTCGTCCGAGTCGCATTCCAGGTGAATCCCCTTCGCCATTAACTGGCTGACGCTTAGTAGATTGTATCCCAAGTTGTCGATGATGAGGACTTTGTTGAGTTGTAATATGACGTTTGTCTCCATTAACTGGAGCTGAACGACGCCTTGTGTGTTTGTCTTCAGGTTCTCATTGTTGGCGACGGTGATGATGACATCGCGGTTGAGACATCGCTCTCGTTGCACGAAGCGCCCGGAAGAACACATATGTTGGCCGCAGCAGCTGTCCAAGAACCAGGTGTTTCGCCCAGTGGGTTCGGCGTTGGCGACTGCAGCATACATCGGGTTGACTTGAAGACCTTGTGAACGTGGCGGCGGCAGTTCTTCTTCGTCTGGAGCGTAAGTGGGTGGTGACTCGGGTCTGCAGCTGTCGATCCGTACCATGCAGTTGATGATGTTTGGTGTGTCTCGTGCAGGTGTAGAAGAGCAGCTTGGCGGATTTTCTTGAGTTGATGCGACTTGCGGATCTGCTGGACGATAAACTCGAGGGCGCGTGCCGTAGTTAACCTTGGAGTGCCCGGATGTCTGACAGTTGTGGCAGAACGGTGGCACGATGGTGAGTCCTCTGGTGTCGTGTCGGTTGTGCTTATCAC